GCTGTACATATTTGTTGCTTAGCTATACTTTTTTGTCCTATTTTCTAAAGTAATTCTAGAACAAAAAGTTCCTTTTTGTAGGTAGACTAGTGCTGTTCAATAGGAATGAAATATGAGCTACACTTGTCATTTTGAACTTTCTTGTAGTAATATTAAAAAAACCAGACAACAGAGGCTCATGCGTCTCTAATCCTAGCAATTCAGGAGGCTGAGAGCTGAGGATTGTAGTGTGAAGTCAGACTCTTAGGTCCAACTAACTACCAAAAAAGCTGAATGTGGAACTGTGACTAGAGCACTAGACTTAAGCAAAAAGAGTTTAGGCATAGCACAAGCCATAGTTCAAGCCACAAGAATGTCACAAAACAAATCAAAACCAAAAAGTAAAACACAATAAATGAAACTGGTTTGTTTTTGGTGATACTGGGGTTTAAACTCAGAGTCTATGCTTGTTAGGCACATGAGACACTATACCTGGCCATGATGAGATTTATTTCATTTTGTTTATTTATTTAGTGCCAGTACTTTTGCTTAGGGTTTTCTGGGGTTTTTTTTGTTTGTTATTTATTTATTTATTTATTTTTAATTTTATTAGGGTTTTCTGTTTAAGGCTAGCATTCTACTACTTGAGCTTCAGCTCCACTTCTAGCCTATTTGCTAGTTAATTGAATTTAAGAGTCTTTCACAGTTATCTGCCTTGGCTGGTTTGGAACTTGGATTGTCAGAGCTCAGCTTCCTGTCTATCTAGAAGTATACGTGTGAACCACCAACTCCCAGCGAGATCGATTTTAATATATTTTTATTCTGTATTCCACAATACAATTGTTTGATATGTAATAATATAAACATGTATTTTACATTTGTATATGCCTTTGAAATCCATTAAATATATCAAACATCTCAATCTAGACACAAAATGTTAACAGAGCACAAAATATATGTGAATCAAATGTAATTTTTTTCTTATCAGAAATGCTTGATGTATATTTAGACTTCCTGAGGTTTACAATTGGAAAAAATAAATGAAGGCACACAAGTTGTTGCAAATTCAAAAGCTTTTAAATGACAGTTGGATGCCAGTGGGGGATTCACACCTCTAACCCTAAGTACTTAGGAAGCTGAAATGTGGAGGATCACAGTTTGAAACCAGTCTGGGGGGAAAAAGTGTCAAAGATCCCATCTCCTATATAACCAGCAAAAATCTAAACTGGAGGCATGGCTTAAGTGGTAGCATGCCAGGAGAGTAAGGGAATCCAGCAAGCATGAGACCCTGAGTTCAAGCCTTAAGTTCAAATTCTGGTACAGACAGAACAATATTCTAACAACTGACTTTATTATCTGTTTCTTTCTTCTTTTTTTCTTCTTTTCTTTTTTGTTGGTCATGGGGCTTGAACTCTGGGCTTGGGCACTGTCCCTGAGCTCTTCAGCTCAAGGCAAGTGCTCTACCACTTGAGCCACAGTGCCACTTCCAGTTTTCTAGTGGTTTATTGGAGATAACAGTCTCACAGACTATTGGGCCTGGGGGGGGGTGGCTTTTAACTACAATCCTCAGATCTCAGCCTCCTGAGTAGCTAGGATTACAGGCGTGAGCCACTGGTGTCTAACTACTATTAGTTTCTAAAAGAGAATTAAGTAGAATTTTTCAATCACAGTAGTCTCATTTCACAATTAGCCCTGTGTGGCTAGGGCCACTATATGGGATAGAGCAGAGGAAGCTAAAGAATGCTCTTTTGGGTGTGAAGGCCTATGAGCTGGTAAGACCCACACATTCACTAGCCGCTCTTTGGAAGATATAACCCTTGGAAGGTGACAGGCACTCTCCAGCACAGAAGTCTCATATTTAATAGCTCTTAACTCCTGTAGCAGCTTTTGGTACTGTTTTGGTTTCCCAGGAACACTTTCTTACTGGAAAGAAAAGGAGCTCCCCTGGTGAGATAAATACCTAGCCTGCTTGGCCATTCCATTTCTCTTTTTACGTGAATAAAGATGAACTGAATTGTCACCATCAAAATACTATCACCTTGCAAGACCTCAATTGCAGGACTTGCAGCACCTATCTGTAAAGAGCAAACATTTATTATTTATTTATGTATTTATTGTCTCCTCCTCTTCTTCAGGAGTCCCTAATCACAAGGGGAAACTCTTGCCAGAAGCCAGGACCTGGAGGGCTGGTGTGGATTGGAGTGCCTGGCCCAGCAATCTCTGGCAGGCAGTTCCTGGATCTTAGTCCACAGGTGCCACCCCTCTCCAAATAGCCCTTTCTTCCCCATCTTACACCATATGCTCGCTATTTGGCTCTAAGGTGAGTAGGAGAGGACCCTTTCTCATCTTTATACATACCTTTAGAAATGAATTTTGCCCTTTATCTCAACTCTAGACAACACATAGTACTCATATTCTCATTTAACTTTTGCAGATTTTCTTCTTCCCATCGCTCCCATCTGATACTTTAGCACATGAATCTGAAGGAAACCAAGACTGGGCATTTATCCACTAGAAATGAAAGTGCATACAAGCCCACTCCCCACCCCAAGTCTCAGCAGTTTTTTCCTTATTCCTACCAGTTCTATTTCTTAAGGATTAGCTGCCCACTGACATATATCATTTATAAATTAACTGTACACTGAACAGAATGAGAATGAACAAACCCTCCATTCCTCAGCACTCTCCAACCCCAAGGACTGGAATGGTGCTTGTAAGAAATGCTGACCACAGCAAAAACCAGATACAAGTTACTTTAATCAGTAGAGACACTTAAATCATATATGATTTAGATCATGTATGTGGACTCTTCCACATCTCTCTGAACTTCAAATAAATGAAAGTCCACATGCTAGAAGACACTACATTTTTATATGCTGGACAATGGAGGTGGCTGCCTCTCTAGGACATATTTCTCCAGAAAAGAATAATATAAAAGAGTCTCCCTTGATAAGAAATGTATTCATTATTTTGCCCATGTAATTGTACCCCCTCTGTAAAGTATGTTCACAAAAAATAAAAATTAAAAAAAAAGAGTCTCCCTTAAGGCAAGGGATAAGATGGCCATTGAAAATGACCATGCTAGCTTGTTGTTAAATAAGCATCATGGACTGATGCCTTGAGTTCCAAGGATATAAGTACTAAACATCTTCTTACTTTTTTCTAATTCTTTGAAATTGTAGTGGGGAGGGGCAGTGAGACCACTCAGTCCACAGTAAAATGTTAAAGATTTTATTGAGCGAAAAGTGCTGATGGGCCAGGACCACACCTGGAGTTGGGATCCCAGGAAACAGCCCCGAGTGCCAGCCCACATTGGTTTTTAAGCATTTAGGGCTAGGGCAGAGAAAGGGGGAGGCTGGGTGTTGGTTTTAGCCAATGATTGTTACAAGAAATTCACACCTTAAGTTTAAACTTCCTGCCAAGGTTTTGCTGGTGTAAAGCAGGGGAATAGAACAATGGGTGGTGATGGTTTCAGCTGGGTTAGGGCTGGCATTGCTCAGAAAATAGCAGAAGCAGACATTAGTTACAGAGTTATAGGGTTACAGGGTTACAATTACAGTTACTAGCTAACATAGCTAGTTACCAGGGAAGTCTTATCCACAGCATACTTAACATTTATATCTTAAAATTGTTCATTATCCATTTTACACAATCCAAGTCGGATATTATATTCCATCTTTACTTCCTCCACCATATCATATATAATTTCTCATCCATTTTATTTAGTAATATGAGTTATATTGACTTTTGTTTAGCAATAGCTCACTACATTGGGGTGTGGGGGTGTGTGCCAGTGCCTGGGCCTTGAACTCAGGGCTTGTGCACTGTCATTTGGCGTTTTTGCCCAAGGCTGGCACGCTTACCACTTGGGCCACAGCTACACTTCTAGGTTTGTAGTAGTTAACTGGAGATAGTCTCATGAACTTACCTTCCTTGACTGGTCTGGAACTGCGATCCTCAGAGCTCTGCTTCCTGAGTAGGTTTAGGAGTATAGGTGGGATCACTACATTTATTAAATGCTCAGCACTTCATATGGTTTCCTTCATTCAATTCTCATAACTATGTATGAAGTAACTACTAGTTGCATTATTTTATAGATCAGAAAACTGAGGCCTAGATAAGTTAAATATAGTACCGAAGGTCACACATCTAGTAAGAGAAAGCCAGTAAACTCAGATAATAATTGCCCTTGTGCAATTCAGTCTTCCTATGATGTATATATCCATTTTTAATTTTCCCATGAGTTTAGTAAGAAAGTTAGACTCTGCCTGGCAAACACTTCCTATGCCTAACATTTCTCTAAGCAATAGAAGTCTCAAAGCAGCTAAACCTAGACCCAGACTTTACCAAGAGAGGCATCAGGCCTGAGGGCGGCAATCTGGTGCTAAAACTCTTTGTCTCTGGGGTTCTCTATCTCCACTTCACAAGGGAATGCCTAACAGCTTTCCTTTGCTACACTCCCCATCTAGGATGCTGATCCCCGATTCTGGCATGATGAAAGTTCAGAATACACGGGGATCAGTCCTCCTTGTGGAATCAGTTCTCTCGGGAATGGAGGAGCTTCTTTTTTCAGTTGTTTTTCCGCCCGTTGTGGTGCTGGGTGTCGAACACTGGGCCTTATACTCCACCACCGAGTTCTTTCTATAATCTGATGAGTTCCATTTTATACTGAGAAAACTGGTCCTCAGAGGTATAAACCACGCTCAGGTCACAAAAGGAGTTGTTCCCAGAGGAGGGGCATCCACTTATTAAAACCTGAGTATTAAGAATAACTGCAGAGGCCTCGGAAAAAAATCAGAATTCTCTGGGTGTCAGATCTGCGAGGTCTTTGCTGCTTCAGCTGGAGCTGATCCAGCCCCCGCTCAGCCTCCGACCTTAAGCCTCAGAACCCGCCCCTGCCAATCAGAAGCCTCAACCAATCAGAGAGCCGAGTCTAGCCGGCAATGACGTGCCCCGCCCCGCAGCCGCGCGATTCAAACTCCCGGAAGCGGCGCCCTCGCGGGTGGGTGTGGCAGCCGAGGCCCGCGCCGTGCTTCACCTCAGGTGCTGAGCGGTCCCGAGGTGGCGACGGCGTCAGCTGACGAGGTCTGGGGGGGCCAGATCCCACAGCTCTCCCGCCGCGGCTGGGTCGGTCTGCACGGGAGGCGGTGGGCAGGCCGCGGGTCCCCGCTTCCGGCCTGCCGGGGGCCCTGAGTCTCTCCCTCGGCCGTGGTCGCCTCGCTTCCGCCGTGGGACTTGGCGGTGAGTACTGTCACCCCTCGAGCGGGAGGCGCCGCCCGGCCGGCGGCCACCCCGGGCGCTGTCGTTAGAATGGCTTTTGCGGGTGAGCGGTCAGCCCGCGCTTTGCGAGTCCGCCCCGGGCGGCTGCGGCCCCGACCCTGTGGGCCCGTGGCGGGGGTCACGATGCAGTTGGCCTTCCCCGGGCCCCTCGTAGGTGCCCGGGCCGTGTGCCGGCCTCGGGTTACCGCAGCGCCCGCTGTCAACGTGCAGCGCCGGGACTGAAGTCCATCGACGGAAAAACAAGAGCAGGTGGAGGGCAGACACGGCGGGGACCTGATCCCAGGCCGGGGGCGGTGTCCTCATTAGTTCCCACCGAGGAAAAGGCTTCCCAAAAAACAGAAAACAAAGAGGTGCCCGCCGGCGCAGGTAAGGGCCGAGCAGGAGAAACCCCCGTGGGCGACTGGAATGGAAAATACGTGGACAGAAGCGCGCACCCACCCGTGGCTCACGCCTGTAATCCTACCCACTCAGGATGAGGGTTCAAAGCCAGCCCAGGCGAGAAAGCTGAGAAACGTGTGTGTGTGTGTGTGTGTGTGTGTGTGTGTGTGTGTGTGTGTGTGTGTGTGTGTGTGTGTGTGTGTGTGGGTCCTGGGGCTTGAACTCAGGGTGGGGCCGGCGGGGGGGGGGAAGGGGGAGAGGATCCTGGGGGGTTTTCTTTGCTTAGGGCTAGTGCTCTACCTCTTGAGCCACAGTGCCACTTCCGGCTGTGTCTGTGTGCCTAATTTCCTGCCTGGGCTGTGATCCTCAGAATCTCAGTCTTCTGAGTACTAGGATTACAGGCATGAGCCACCAGTGCCTGACCGAGATTCTCTGCGTAACCAGCAAAAAGCCAGAACTGGAAGCCATGGCTCTAGTGGTAGAAAAATCCTAGAGCCTGAAGCCCTGAGTTCAAGCCCCAGGACACACACTCTCTTTCCTCTCTTCTCTCTGTGAGTGGCATTTTCTGAATAGTTTATTGGAGATAAGAGCCTCATGGACTTCCCTGCCTGGCTGAACCTGGATCCACATATCTCAGTCTTCTGAGTAGTTAGGATTATAGGCATGAGCCATCAGCTCACTTATACTTATTATACTACTTATTTTTGATGGTATTGAGGTTTGAACTCAAGGCCTTTGCTTGCAGACACCATTACTTGAGCCACACCCTTGGCCTTTTTTTTTTTTGCCTAAGTTTATTTTTCAGATAGAGAAAGTTTTACTTTTGCTTTAGACCATCCTCTCGCCTTCATCTTCTTATGTTTGCCTCTCAATTAGCTGAAATTATAAGTATGGACAACTAACTCAGCTTTTTTTCTTTTCAGGTACTGGGGCTTGAACTCAGGGCCTGTCACTGTCTCTTTAGCTTTTTGTTCAAGACTGGTACTCTTCCACTTGAGCAACAGCTCCATTTCCAGCTTTTCTTTCTCTATTTTTTGATGGTTAATTGGAGATAAGAGTTTCATGCCCTGGCTGGCTTTGAACCTTGATCCTTAGATCTCAACCTCTTGAATATATAGGATGACAGGCATGTGCAGTTTATTTTATTTTATGTATGTATGTATGTATGTATTTGGTTTTGGGGCTTGAACTCTGGGCCTAGGCTCTGTCCTTCAGCTCTTCAGCTCAAGGAGAGCGCTTTACACTTGACCCACATCGCCACTTCTGGTTTTCTGGTAATTGGAGACTTCAGACTTTCTGTCCTGGCTGGCTTTGAACTGTGATCCTCAGATCTCAGCCTCCTGAGTAGCTAGGATTACAGACGTGAGCCACCAGTACCTGGCACAGTTTATTTTTTAAGATAAAGTCTTGATAACATTTTTGCCCAACTTGGTTGAACTTCGATCTTCCTATCACTGCCCTTGAGTGGTTGGGATTATTAATGTGTGCCACTTTGACCCTATATGAAGTATATGTACAGTATATTTCACTATATGTCTACCATAGTTTATATATACTTGCTTCTAATCTGTCATCTAGTATTTTTAGCAGATACTAAGGATCTCCTTAAATTTGGTCCCTTATTCTAAATTTCTTTCCTACCAGATTCCCTGAATATTTTACCTTTTTAAAATGTATAAATATTGGATTTTCCTCACTTCCTACCATACTCTCTCAAATGACTATCATGTTAGAGTAAAATTAAGCATATTTTCTAAAATAGGTCATACCATTCTGTTGAATAATGACTTCTTTTTTTTGGTAGACTGAGGCTTGAACTCAGGGCCTAGGCACTGTTCCTGTCTTTTTTTTGGGGGGGGTTCAGTCATGGGGCTTGAACTCTGGGCCTGGGCACTGTCCCTCAGCTCTTCAGCTCAAGGCTAGTGCTCTACCACTTGAGCCACAGCGCCACTTCCGGCTTTTTTCTTTTTGCTTATGTGGTACTAAGGAATCGAACCCAGGGCCTCAGGCATGCAAGGCAAGCGCTCTACCACTGAGCCACCTTCCCAGCCCCATCCTGACCTTCTTTTGCTCAAGGCTAGCACCCTACCACTTGAGCCACAGCTACACTTCTGGCTTTTTTGGTAGATTACTGCTAGCTGTTTAGTCTTGTGTCAGATATGTGATCATTACTCACTATTTTAAGGTTTTTTAAAAAAATTATTGGAGACCCCTCTATTGTTTTTTTCTTCTGGCCAGTCATGGGGCCTGAACTCTGGGCATGGGCACTGTCCCTCAGGTCTTCAGCTCAAGGTTAGCGCTCTACCACTTGAGCCACAGTGCCACTTCTGGCTTTTTCAAACCCAGGGCCTCATGCATGCAAGGCAAGCACTCTTACCACTGAGCCACTTCCCAGCCCCCCCCCCATTGTTTTTTAAAAGAAAATTTCTACCAAATTGTGATACCTGTACAGACCATGCACAAAAGCGAGATATGCAGGCTGTCATATTTTTGCAAGACAGTTATTCCTCATATCTCTTACCTGACATTTTTTTTAATGGTTGCAATACCTCAGAAACCTTTTTTGGTCTATCTCTTGTTCTCTCTGATTTGAATATTTCCTTTCTATTTAGAATTTAGAATGAAATAGTTTATTGAGAATTTAGAATGGAATAGTTTATTGAGATTTAAATTTTAAATGCAAGATTTAAAATATAGTTGACTTTTATTTTCACAGACCATTTCAGAAATGTCTTCTAGAAGTCCAAAAGACTTAATTAAGAGTAAGTGGGGACTAAAGCCTAATAACTCCAAGTCAGAAACTGAATTACAGAAATTTAAGGGTGAAATTTCATCTTTAAAAACATCAATGGATGAACTCACAAATGGAAAAGGAAAACTGACTGATAAAGATAAACACAGACTTTTGGAGGTAAATAGTCATTTAATCCTTTTAGTTGTAGTGAACATTCTTAGAAAACATGGTACTTGAATTTTCTGATGCTGCCTTCTTATTCTTGTTATATTTATCCCTACCCTATCCCTCATCAGTAGATGAGCATGTATGTCTTTCAGGAGCCACTTTTTAGCATTTAGCCTTTAGGTTTAGAAGGTTTAATATGATGGAGGAAAGATTCTCAAATACTTATAAGAGCTGTATATAGAGAGATCTTGGTTTGAGGCTATCCTAGGCAAAAAGTTTGCCAGACCCTACCTCAACCAATAAAAGTTGAGACTAGGATGTGACCTACATCATTTTCAGATCATGGGAAATGAAAATAGGAGGACTGAGGTCCAAACCAGGCCCAGGGAGAAAAGCAGAACCCTATTATAAAAATAATAGAGCCCTGGAATAATGGTTCACACCTCTAATACTAGCTACTTGGGAGGCTAAGGTCTGAGGATTATGGTTTGAAGCCAGTGTGGACAGGAAAATCTGTGAGACTTATCTCTAACTAACTACCAATAAATAAGTAAACAGACAGATTAATCAGTCAACCAATCAATCACATGCTAGAAGTAGAGCTGGGGCTCAAGTAGTAGAGTATTAGCTTTAAGCAAAAAACCTCAAGAGATGGTACCCAGGACCTGAGTTCAAGCCCCAGGACCGCACATACACCCAAATGAGAAAGAGCAAAAATAGGAGGAGGTGTGTTTCAAGTGGTACCTAGCAATCACAAGGCTCTTATTTCAAACCCCAGTACTGCCTTCACTTCCCTCCAAAAAATAATTCATATGAGAAGTTTTCTTTTAGTTTTCTCACACAATCTTTGATACAAGTAGTTTCTCCTTTGTGTCTATGCCCATTCATTTTGTATGTATGTTAATAGAACGTATATTACATTTATATGTATTGATTTATGTCCTTGAGCTGTTTGAGCATAGAACTGGACTTTTTTGGTCCTGATATCATAAAGCCAACTTGATATATAAAAAATAATTAATGCTTGTGGAAATATATTATTTAGCTGCAAGTTTGACTTGACTTTGTTCTATGTTTCTTCTTTATGTCTAGAAAATTCGAATTCTTGAAGCTGAGAAAGAGAAAAATGCTTACTACCTCACAGAGAAAGACAAAGAAATACAGCAACTCAGAGACCAGCTAAAGACCAGATATAATACGACTGCATTGCTTGAACAGCTGGAAGAGAAAACCAAGGAAGGTGAAAGGAGGGAACAGTTGTTGAAATCCTTATCTGAAGAGACAGATGTACTGAAGAAACAGTTGTCTGCCGCGACAGCAAGACTTGCTGAACTTGAAAGCAAAGCCAGTACCATCCGTTTATCACAGGTGCTAATAATTGTTTTTTAACCCAGATTTCTTTCTTTTTGCTATAATTTGTAATTCGTATGAAGAATAAGTTTGTTAAAGAATGCTTGCCAAATGATGAGACAGCATAGTGAACTTGAAGATCACTTACTTTATTTTAGCTTCTCTATCTGTACAATGGCCAAGAAGAAAGATTGTGTTGAGAACTTATTTTTATAGTTTGGATCATTTAAAAGAGACTTAATTTTCTGGAGGTTTTGTTTATTTTGTGCAGTACTGGGTTTGAACTTCAGATTTAGGTCTTGTCTCTTTTTTGTTCAAAGATGGAGTTTTACCATTTGAGCCAGAGTTCCACTTGTTGCTTTTTTTTGCTGATTAATTGGAGATAAGAGTCTCAAAAACTTTCTTACCCAGACTGGCTTCAAACTAGGATCCTCAGATCTCAGCCTTCTGAGTAGTTATGATTACAGGTATAAGCCACTAACACTCAGCTTAATTTTTATATTTGAGGTACAAAATTACAATATCAAATCTACTTTTTCCATCTGCATGCATATTTTTCCCCTTTTCTTGTTTGAGAGGTACATACCAGTAGAGTAGGAAGAGCAAGGATTTGGAGGTAAAAGACAAGCCTAGGTCCAGATCTTGATTTTGCCTTGTTAACTATGTGACTCTGAACAAATTTCTTAACTGTGTGAGCCTTAGACCAGGTGGCTCAGCAGACCCCTTTCATAAACCTCAGTTTCCACATCAATAAAACCTGGAGAAGCTGGGCACCGGTGGCTCACGCCTGTAATCCTAGCTACTCAGGAAGCTGAGATCTGAGGATCACGGTTCAAAGCCAGCCCAGGCAGGAAAAGCCATGAAACTCTTTTCTCCAACAAACCACCAGAAAACTGGAAGTTGCACTGTGGCTCAAGTGGTAGAGCACTTGCTTTGAGATGAAGAGCTGAAGGACAGTGCCCAGGCCCAGAGTTCAAGCCCACAACCTACCCCCCACCAAAAAAAAAAACCTGGCTAAGAATATTGACAATTGAGTGTGGTAATGTTTGTAAATTGATAACATAGTGCCTGTCATACTTGTAAATGGTTACTTTACTGGTCAAATGTTTGATTCTTTTGAAATTTATTTTACTTTTTTGCCAGTCCCGAGGCTTGAACTCAGGGCCTGGGCACTGTCCCAGAGCTTCTTTTGCTTAAGACTAGCACTCTACCACTTGAGCCACAGCACCACTTCTGGCCTTGTCTGTTTACTGTGGTACTGAGGAATTGAACCTAGGGCTTCATACATTCTAGGCAAGCACTTTACCACTAAGGCACATTCCCAGCCTTAAACATTTGAATAGTACTAACACAACTACTAAGACTACTTACAGGAAAAAAAAATCTAACTTTCAAATCTAACACCTCAATGCTGTTAATATAGTCTCTCTTTGTACTTTATTTTCTTTTGGTGGAAGATACAGTGATCAGACCTGTACATTTTATACAGGTAGGCAACTGAATATTTCAAGAAATGACTTCAAAGATGGTGAGTTTTTCTAGAGAATTCCCACAGAACTGAAACTCATGAAACATTGCAGTCAGATTCAAAGTGATTGGTTAAAATGTTTCCTTGTAGAAAATAACATTTTTTTTGGTGCTAGTCTTGGGGTTTGAACTCAGGGCCTGGGCACCCTCTCTGTGCTTTGTTGCTCAAGGCACTCTACCACTTGAGCCACAGCTCTATTTTTGGTGGTTAATTGAGTCTAAGAGTCTCACAGAGTTTCCTTCCTTGGCTGGCTTGGAACTGCAATCCTCAGATCTCAGCCTTCTGAGTAGCTAGGATTACAGGCATGAGCCACTGGTACATAGAAGAAAATATAATTTTGAAATGATTTTGTAGTATTGGTTTCTGCCCGTCAGAAATTGCTGTATCAAACAGAAACTGCTATAGCAAACATCCTCAAAAATCTCAGCATATTATGGGAAATGGTGATTTTTCCTTATACCACAGTGTAGTACAAGTTGGAATGGAGGCTTTGCTCCAGTCATTCAGAGATCCAGATCCCTTTCTCCTAGTGGCTTTACCTTAGGATGGAGACTTCCTGCCAGGGCTTCTGTGATCTGTGAAATAGAGTATGTGAGGAGATTGTCAAGGCAGGTTTGGAGGAGGCCTGCAATTAGCATGTTTCACTTCTGTCCACACTCTATCAGACAACTCAGAAGATTCCACTAACCACAGGGAAGGCTGGGAAAGAAAGTCTATTATGTGCTTAGGGAAAAAAGGGGTGGGGGTAGTGTCACAGTTCCACCTGAAAGGGTGAATGAAGAGATTGTCTGGAGAAAAGCAAATATTTTGAGCCTTCTTACCAATGTTCACATTGGTATCTTTTTAAAAATCCTGAAATACAGCCTTTATAGAGTTGGTTTGCTAGAAATGAAGAAAAAAAGAACTGTCGTAAATTCCACATACTCTATGTGAACTAAAACTGATTAATACTAGTAGAGGTTAAGTATCAAAAATACAAAATGTTTCAAAATCTGAAGCTTTTGTTTACCAGTGTGCCACCAAAAGTAAAAAATAATCACATCTGTCACATTCTGTATAAAAGTAGCTTCAGACCGTGTATAAATAAGGCAGATACAAAATACAAACACATTTCATGTGTAGAGTTAAATCCCATCTTCAAGATAATTCATTATGTTTATACAAATATTCCAAATTCCAGAAAATCTACAGTATCAAATATTTCTTAGCATTTTCAGACTATGCTAATCTGAACTATGCTACTCAAACTATGTTAATGTAAAACCTAATTCTAGAAAAGAAACTTATCATCTTTTGGTTGACAATTTATGTTTTCTAGATTTCACTGAAATAGCCCAATTGTTTTGACTCCTCTTGGTGAAAAACAGGCGTTTCTAGTGATTCTGTGCTCCACGCAACTCAAGTCAAATTAGATCTGAAATCTCAGGGTTTCCAATCTTTAGGAAGCTTGTAAATGTTAATTTTCACAGTGGTCCTTTGGTAACCTGGCTATTTGGTTCTAAAGTATGTTATCAAATTTTGGGATGCCCCTGAGAAATATACATAGTGTATTTTTATGGAACTGAATCTACGAAGGAAACTTGTGTTGTTGAATGTGTAATGTTAAGTGATATTGGATTATTTACAGACTTCGGCTACTGGCTGCCTCAACTCATCAATGAGTAACATTCATGAGATGGAACTGCAACTAAAAGATGTAAGTTTGTTTCTTTTGATTGTTATGGGTAAATAAGCTATGGGACTAACTTGTTGACTTTTAAATTTTATAAAGTTGGAAGCATTAGCATCTCTACTGAAAAAGAATCAAGTGATGAGACAAGAGAAGTGGATTGTAATGGTTGCCTAAGTCACTGCCCAGGCATTCAGGAGAAAAATTTTTTCAAGTGGGTTACAAATATGTCCACAGCATCTCTTCTTCACCTAAATCTAATTTGTTCAGCTGCTATTTTATTATAATTAATTTTCCTTTTTTTGTGGTGCTAAGACTGGAACTCTAAGCTTCTTACTCTCACTTATGCCTGGCACTGTACCACTTGAGCCATGCTTCTAGTTGAGAATTGCTGGCTAATTGGAGATAAGAATCTCTTTGATTTGTCTGTCTGTGCTGACTTTGAATTAAGATCCTCAGATCTAGCCGGGCGCTGGTGGCTCAAGCCTGTAATCCTAGCTACTCAGGAGGCTGAGATCTGAGGATCGCGGTTCAAAGCCAGCCCGGGCAGGAAAGACCGTGAGACTCCTATCTCCAATA